AAAATGCGGCTAGACGAGAACTGGAAAACAAGAAAAGAACCGCAAATGCGATGGAAAGGGGAAGGAGAAGCAGAAGAAGAAGAAGAAAGAGAGGGAAAGAGGAGGGGGAAAGGGACGGGTGACAGGACAGCAGTCAACATTTGCTGACTTAGCTGCAATTATGGCAGATATTTTTATGAACTTGATGGCAGCACACACACTCACACTAAGACACATCCTGCTACACATGACACACACATACACACATGACTATGAAAAAGTAGAAGGGAACATTTAGTTTACTGAATGGAAAAGCTGCGAGCTAAAAGGCCAAACAGTGCATGGAAAATGAAGATGAGAATGCCAGTTGGAAAATCGTCCGCAAGAGTTTATTATGTTGGAAAAGAGTTTTCAAGAGAGTGGGAAAACGTCTTTAAATTAAAATATTGTTTCTTATTAAGTGAGAGGTTCTTTAAAAAATTCTTTTATTAAAAAGTTTTTATAAATACAAACAACAACATTGTGTTAACAAATATTTTGGTACCCTTTGTATTTCCCTCATTTATAAAAGACATAATGGACATTTTCCTGCACGCATTATAACCCCACGTATCATAATTAATTTTTTCTTTGTTGTTGGTTTCACGGGTGGCGCTTTTAACTGAAAAACGTGTACTCTGGAAAAAAAAAACAGGACGACGGCAGAGGCCAGTAAAAAGCAGAAGTTAATTGTTCAAATATTTTCAGAGCACACATGCAACGCCCCTCGACCTCCGCCCACTTAACCCCTTTCAGCACTTTCTCCTCTGACACAATGGAAAAGCCAACCGAAATCAGAGCTCCTTTTTTACCCAAAACTCACTTCGAAATAATTTACGGCGCAGTTAAGAATACAAACATTTTCATTGTTAATTTTTATGGAGGGGAAATGTGCCTTTTTGTTGCAGTCGTTTCACCAGTGGTAGAGCAACAAATTCCAAGAGAGGTTGGCCACCATCACATTTTCAACGCTTTTAATTCGAAACCCAATAAAAATCATCAACAATTCATTTCCCGTTTCATTGCGTTCCCATTTGGCAGGAGAATTTTATTCCTCTTTAAGAGTCTTGCGAGAAAAGCGATGAAATTCTCCGTCGTTAAATTAAATTTGTCTGCTTAATTGCTGCGATCCGATCTGCCCATCCTTTGGGGGAAAACTTTGTGGAATTTTTATCGCTGACCCGAAACAACCTTCCCATCGATTTCATTGCCTCCCCCAGCTTCCCCCGCCTCTATCTATTTTATTTTGCTTTAATTTATTTATCTTATTCGGAGATGTTTCGCCTCGAAGTTGATTTCATGCTCCAGCTAGCTTCGCAACTTCCTTTCTCCACAACTTTCACTCCCCGTTGGCCGACTTTCTGTCGCCTGATAATTGTGCTTAAATTATTGCAAAAATGGGGGATGAAAGTTTCCATTTCTGTTTATCTTTAGAAATTTCCACTAAGTCCACTGAAACTTAGATGGACTTTCTTTAAAATGTTTTACTCCGGAAATTAAAATAAAGCTTACGAAAGTAAGGTTTGGAAAATAAAGGTTTATTTTTAGTTATACCCTTACTAAAAAGATGGATAAGAATCACCAAAAATCCCACCCTTGACCAAATTATCAAAAATAAATCGTCATAAATATTTATAATCTATTTATTGACCTCCACCAGTGAATCGTAAAGCTTACTCCCAAAAAAAAACAACAAGCAAAAATCTACTCTGCAGAAGGATTTTGCCGCTGCGTTTTCATTGCCGATTTTTATCACGGGGCACATTGAAAATTTACGACTTTTCACAGCGCATAAATTCTGCGTCGTTCGCCAATTTTTATTATCTGCAAAACACTTTATGCGCATCCGAGGAATACACGAGAGAAGGGAGCGTCTAATGGATACGTGAACCCAAATTGAGACACTTTGCATAGACCAAAGCAATCATCATCCCCTCGAATGAAGTCACGAAACTTCTCCACGGGGAAAGCTCAGAAAATGAGCCAAGAAATAATGATAAAAGGTGAAAAATGCACTTAGCGGGAAAGGAAAAGGGAAAACGCTAAGCGTAACTTATTATGGGAGGCGAAAGAACGCAAACTTTCCGCGGAAACTTCAGCTGCATGTGTTGCATACTTTGTGGGGCTCCAAAGAAAGCATGAAAAATGAGCAAAGGGAAAATGGAAAACATTGAGAAATTTTTCAGCCCTAGGAAACAGGAAAAACAAATTTTTAATGTCTCTCGTAGGAATAAAAAAAAAGGAAGATGGTTCTTCCTCCGATTGCGATGCAAAATGTTGTCACTTTGTATCCGACAGCTAGGATCATTAATCGCTGTTTTCCTTCTCTTTGTCGCAAAAAGATCCCCTTCAACTGAAAAAAATTTTAATATAAGTAAATACATCCTTAAACGAATCCTTTTTGTCAATAAATTTTCAATTTCCGTCCTGAAATTTGCAATTTATTTCGATGCAACAAAGGTAATTTACCCCCTTTGTAAGTCACTTTCAGGGAGTTTTCCAAGGTGGACAGCAAGGTTTCGTGCAGCTTTCCACACAAGGTGACAAGAGTTTATCGAAGTACATAAACTCGACAGCAAATTGCATTGTTCGCTTACAGGATTGCATTATTTTCAAAAAGGAAAATAAAAGGTTAACTTATGCCGGGATTCCGAAATCCTCTGACAAGTGAACAGCTCAAAAAGTTCGCCCACCATTTTTCCATAAAGCACGGCATTTTAACTGTCAGAAATTTGATTTCATCTTTGAACTCTGCGAAAATATTTCATAAATATTTGGCCCAAGTTTTTTCTCGGATTTTCAACACTTTTTCTGGTTTTGCAACTGTACAAATATTTTTCCCTTTTTTCGCTTGCTTTTTCTTGCTACTTTGTTGTGCAAATATTTTCCACCATTTTTGCACTTCATTTGCCGAGGGGAGTGTCAGTGGGCGTTGCTGTTTGTTTTTCTTTGATTCGCTAAATTGGTGCACCGATTGCATTTGAAATGAGATTTGATCGCCTTGAAATCATGAGAACTTAACTGGAGCTTAAGGGAAATAAAGAGGATGAAATTCCGTATTTTGCATGCTTAAACCTCTGAACACAGATTTGTTTTTTTTCCCCGTTTGGGACGATATCCATTTGGTTTTAACGACTTGCCAGCAAAGTTTCCCCACAGGCAACGCGAATCCTTTTCAAGTGAAACATTAAACTTTGCCCCATCAGAGAAATAAGTATAACAACAACAAGGCGAAGGATATCAGCAGACCCGAAAGGCAGTCGGGATAATGGCCAAACAAGACATGACAGCAATGAGGGAAAACATTTTCAATAATCCCAAGAAAAAGGTTAAGAAAAGACATTTTCAAAGTATTTTTCTGAATTAAATTTAACTTCCCATCTTTTTTGATATTTTTGGGGTCAAAGCATTGATTCAATTACCAAAGGTATAACAAAACCGATGGTAAGCGAAGAATTAATCCCGTTAAAGTATGCCGAGTCATTTTTTCACCCTCCTAATCACACCCAATATAATTTGTCTAATTAACTTATTTGGAGTTTAATCCGTTAACATCCCCTTCCTATCCCACTTTTTAAGCACCATTTCTCCGTTTGAACTTGGCAAAGGATTCCCCTTTAGAGCCTCTAATTATGCCAGTTGGCTAAGAACGCGAGTTGCGTTCCCTAATTGCAGGCGACTGCCTCGAAGGCGGCTCACGTGGCGTATGCGCAACGATGGCAAACTTTTCCGCTTTCGTCTTTAAGGTGTTGTTTTTTGTCGCCTTATTTTTAATGAAATCACGCACGTTTCTTGGGGAGTGAGTAGAGCAAAGGTTGGGCTGAGCAAAAGGGACGAAGTCAGCCGAATTGCGCATTTGACACTTACATTCTGCGTTTAATCAGGGATTAAGTAAGAGAAGGGAGCAGAATATAGACGGTGGATTAGTGAACAAATATCCGAGAGAATAAAGAGGAGAAACCCTGCAGGAACCCCTCACCACAAATATGTTCTCGTCTCCTCAGTCTTCTGCAATCGTTTTGTGGTTTTTGCAGCTCCTGAAGGGAAACGACGTTCCACAATTGTAGACCATTTTGCGTTTAATTAAGCTCGAATTGCAAATGGAAGAAGCCTGCTGCCATTGCCAAAGAGAAGCCGTTTCGTTTAGCCATGCAAATTGGATGAGCCGCAGGATGTCCGAACACCTGAAAGGATTCTCTGTTTACTCCCCGTTTGTTTGCTGTGGTCAGCAATTAAAAATTCAAACTACAGTTGTGTCGAGAGCCGCTTCACTAATTCTAATTGCAAACTGTGTAGCGAATTCCCCCAAAGGACCCACAAAGGACACACCGAGAATGCGGCTCAGCTGCTCTCAATTGTTTTGAAAATGCGGTTTAATAAGGGAATGAATCTGTTTAGGAATTCCCGCAATTTGCAAAAAAGAGTGTCTTCGGAATAAATTTAAATCTTTAGTACAAACTGACCTTAGTTTATAAAAGCTTAAATTTACATTTAATAAAAGAAAAGTATATCGAAAGTTTATGTTTGCAGGAAACTTCTGCTAAAAGGCTAAAAGCTTAGGTGTCAAAACTACCAAGAAGAAACAAAATTGAAAAAGGGTTTAAAGTTGCGACAGTCAAAAACATTTGGAACCCGTTCGAAAGATTTGTTTGCCGTCATTTTTGTTAAAAACGTAGAATTTTGTTTAAGAAATTAAAAGAATTCTTTATTATCTAGATTTGTTTCGATGTTCAAATACATCCAGAAACTTGTATTAATTACATTAACATTTGTTATTACTTTGGCTTTAACTTCAAAGATGTAAGCCTTTAATTAGTGGCAATTTTCCTGATAATTAAGTTTTCTTTTTAGCCCCTGCATTAATAGTCCCTTGAGCAATACTTTTAAGCTTATCTGGCCAACCGTAATTTTTTCATCAACGTGTCAGCACTAATTGTTTGTTTGGCTTCGTCGGAAATTTTATTCCGAGTAGGACTTCAACAATGTTGCAACCGAACAGTGTCCATTCCTTTCGCCAAAGAGTGGCCCACTTCATCCTAAAAGCGAACTTGTATTTATCCTGGGTCCTCGGAATATTTCCCTTCACTTTCGACTCCAGGAAAAGACGACTGCATATTTCAAAGTGGCTTTTGGCATACGGCGTGATTCTGCACCTATGTCTGGTACTATTATTATATCTGCCAACTAGCGATAACCCCAATTTCATGAATGGGGATTTATTTGAGCCTAATCCACTGGTAAGGCAACTTGATTTCATCTTGCGCAGTATCAGCCGCACTGGGATATCAGTGACCCATCTACGAACATTCTGGAAATGTAAGGAGTTGGTTGAGGCTTTAAACGAACTCCTGATGCTGGAGCACCATCACTTCAGAGAGCTCATCCTCAGGGATTGCCCTCAACTCGATTGGTTCGTGATCTTCAAGGGAATATCGCCGCTAGTGGTGACGATGTATTCTCTTGTGATCTGCTGTGGAATACTTGATAATAATAAGACGGTCCATGAGGGTTTTTGCGTATCCGTTGGCATTTTGGCAGTTCTCATGGTCATAATGCACTTTCACCTGTTAATGATCTATATTTATCGGCTGGTGTGGATAATCAATGGGCAACTCTTGGACATGGTCACACGACTAAGGAGAGGCGAAAGTGTGGATACCGAGCTGGTTAAACGACTCCTTTTTCTTTACGGCCGCGTTTCGGATCTTAACACTCGTCTCACCAGAGTTTACGACATCCAAAATACATTTAGTTTGCTTACTCTGATGTCAGCAAACATTTTTTTTAATTTCTTACTAGTCATCTTTTGGTGCAACATCAATAATTTTTCTATGCTAGTCCTTTTTTCGCTCATGCCCCAAGCAGTGGTCATGAACCTCTGTGATCTTTGGCTGACCATAGCCTGTTGTGACTTGCCCGAAAGAGCGTGCGAAAAAACTTCACGGATCCTGAAGTTGTTTAACGATATTGAAGGCATGGACAAGGAACTGGAACGGAGGGTAAGCGAGAATTTTCGCAGAATGACACCTAAGTATTTAAATATGTTTTTAGATATCTGAGTTCACCTTATTTTGCTGTCATCGCAGGCTGAAAATTTGCCAACTCGGAATGTTCGACATCAACTATGAGATAGGCTTTCGCATATTCATCACCAACATTTTGTACGTCCTTTACCTGGTGCAATTTGATTATATGAATCTACATTTTAAATAAAATTGGTTCCTGAATTTAAATGGCATTCTTTACATTTTGTTCTTTTGACAAATATTTACGAAACGCGTTTTAAAAACTTGGCAGCCATTTATAAAAATTTCCTATTCTAATAGCTCACACTATTTTCTATTATTGTGACGGACATTACTCGCCCTTCGTAGGTTAATTCACTTGACTAATTACTTTAAATGTGTTAGCATCGAGAGGATCATTTTATTAGCCATCGTTACCATATTAAGTAACCTTTTATTCTTTCCACTTGTATGGCCAGAAGTTCAGTTGCCATTTTATTCCACTTTCGTTGTCGAAAATGTTCGGTTCATGTCGCGAGTTTCGTCATCGTTCGGCATTGATTATCCTGAAGACGACTTTATATGGATCCTGGCTACTCGGACTATTTCCCTTCTCCTTTGATTCCCGAAGACGACGAATCAGGCGCTCGCGACGGCTCCTATTCTATGGATTATTTCTTAATTATTTGCTTTTATGCACAGTGCTGTGGGGCTTAGAAAACTTGGAAACGAGCAAAATAGAAGCCTAAAGGCATAGTCCTGTGCTTAAAATTATAAATATTTTAATCGGCTCAATCAGCATGTGCTTTGGATTCGTTATTCATTTTATGAATTTTTGGGGAAGCATGAAAATGAACTATTAACTCTGGAGTACCAAGACTTTGATGGTTTGAATGAAAAGGTGTGCAAAGTTAAATTGTTTGTTGATCCAAAAATCCATGACTATTTTGGGACAGTGGCTGTCTTTTTTGACTATGAACTACGGAATGCTTGGAAATGATTGTTCCGTAAAACTGGTATTCATAAGCCTTCTGATAATAATATCCCTCAACATCAACGTAATTCACTTCCATGTCGGGGCTCTTGTAATCTATCGATATCTTTGGCTGATCAACGGACAACTCATGGATCTGGTCAACCAACTGAAACTGGATCCCTCCGTAGACTCCTCTAGAGTCCGCAAATTTCTCTCCGTGTACTGTCGCCTCTTGGCTCTAAAAGAAAAATTAGTGTCGGCCAGCTTTCCATACTTCTAATATCCTGCTTATCTGGCAATATTGCGATGATATATTTTTTGGTTGTGCTTCGAGTAAGCATGCGGATAAATGAAGTATTCTTGGTGGCTTTTTCGCAGGCTTTGCTCACTAATATTTGTGATTTTTGGTTGTGTGTTGTCCTATGTGATCTCACCGAGGCAACAGGAACAGAAACCTCCACAGTTCTAAAGCAATTTACCGATCTCGACTATATTGATGTAGAATTAGAGAGAACTGTAAGTCTACATATATACGCAAATTTTGTAATCATTAGTAATTTCTTTCTCTTTTCAATAGCTGAATGAGTTTGCAATTTTGTGCAGCCACCGAAAATTTAGTTTCCAGTTCTTTGGATTATGTTCATTAAACTACAATACGGGCTTCAAAATGATTATTACAAGTATTCTCTACTTAATTTACTTATTGCAGTTTGATTGTATGAACTTGTGATTTTTTTTTTTTTTTTTTTTTTTTTTTTTTTTAAATAACAAATAAGTTTTATTTACGTCGATCAGCCAACCTAATGGCTATAATACGTAGAGCATAACAAAGAACAGATAACATGAAAACAATAACAGGAGATGTACAGTAACAATTACTGTTTCAGGACTCGGGAAACCATGCGTCCTCTTGTCCAGAGGTCGCCGGGGTGTCTCCGTTTCAGTCTTCTTCGGATAGCTTGATTACGTAGAGACGCTGCTAGGTGGTTTGGGTGCGCTATGAGGCGATCGCTGTAACGACTCGAGTGTCGGTTGATCTGCTCTCTAATGGAGGGAATGTGGAGATCATTTGCTAGGGCGTCGTTTCGAACGTACCAAGGCGCGTTTGCCATCATGCGTAGCGCTCGGTTTTGGGTTCTCTGCACTTTCATGACGTTACTGTCAGAAGCCATGCCCCATATCTGAATGCAATATGTAATCGAGGGCATCACGATCGATTTATACAGCAACACTTTGTTGCCAAGGCTGAGCTTGCTCGTTGGCTTAAGCAACCAGTTCAACTTCCTGAGTTTACTCCGACATGTAGCTGTTATTTTCTTGGTGTGTTCTTTCCAGGTGAGCCGCTTATCTAGGATCAGTCCCAGATACTGCGCCTGGGGTGACTGTGGGATGGTGACGTCGTGGAGTTCGACTCTGGGTAGGACCTTTTCTCTCAAAGTAAAGTTGCAATGTTGCGACTTCCTGCCATTTATGGCAATATTCCACCTGTTAGCCCACTTGCCATACGAGTCCAGAAATTCCTGGGTGATCCTTGATGCCTCGATTCGGCAGGAAGAGTTCACAAGAAAGGCAGTATCGTCAGCATATGTGGCCAAAAGTGTGCCCGGTTCAACAGAACTTGGCAGGTCTGATGTGAACAGGGTGTAGAGAACGGGACCCAGAACGCTTCCCTGCGGAACTCCAGCACGAGCAAATCTAATGCTTGACCTTTCCCCTCTCACCTCGACCATAAAACTTCGATCAAGCAGGTATGATTTCAGTAGAAGGAATTGGCCAGTCGGAAGTAATGACTTCAACTTATGAAGTAGTCCGTAATGCCATACTCGATCAAAAGCTTCCTTGACATCAAGGAAAATTGCAGAGCAGTATTGCTTGTTTTCAAAGGCATTCAAAATGTGATTAACTACTCGATGTGCTTGCTCTGGGGTCCCATGGCGATGCCTAAAACCAAACTGGTGATCGGGAATGGCGGCCTGCACGCTTCTTACTCCCATAATTCTACTAAGAAGTATTCTCTCGAATATTTTAGAGAATGTGGGAAGCAAGCTTATAGGTCGGTATGACTCTACAAGGTTCTCCGGTTTTCCTGGCTTTGGTATCATCGTTATCACAGCACACTTCCATTGGGAGGGAAAGTGTTGGATACGTAGCATTGAATTAAAGAGGAGAACAAGGAACAGGATACCCTTCTTAGGCAGTGCCTTGGCAATTCTATTGTCTATGCCATCGAATCCCGGCGCTTTACTGATATGTAGCTTTCGAATATGAAGACAAACTTCTTCTGGGCTGACATGCGGGATCGGTAGAGCATTCGGTGAAGGTGCATTAATGAAGGCCATTGTTTCTTCGAGATCCTCTGGGCTCGCGAGGTCGAATGGCTGAAAGCGTTTCTCTAGTTCGTCCGCGAAAGCTAAAGAAATCTCTGAGTCAGACCTGCACCATGTATCGTCAGTTTTCTTTATGGGGATCTTTCGGAGAGGCTGTCGTTTAATGTTTCGTGTCGATTTCCAGAGGTTAAAGCCGTACGGTTTGGTGGGATCTGCATTGAGGAGCATCTCATCAAAATATTCGCGCTTGGTTTGATGCAGAAGTTTTTTAAGCTCGTCCTCGGCGCGACGGTAAGCCCTTTTGTCGACTGGGTCTTGGGACCTCAAATATCTGCGACGTAAGGATCTTTTCAGCCTTACCAAGTCCATAACTTCAGGTTTTAAAAGAGCCTGAGGTGGATTGGAGTGGCTTGAAACTTGTCCACAGGTTGAGGACTCGGCAGCGATATGAATACTCCGGACAAACATCTCTACAGCGTCGTTGATTTCCTCGGGAGAGTTTAACACCAGATTGAGGTTAACAAGCTGGTTGACTGCTGCTTGGAAGCGCAGGATACTCGCGTTTCGAGGAAGGATGCGAGGCCTATTACGAATTATTTGTGCAGCTACTCTCAACTTTATTATAAGCGGTATGTGATCAGAGCTAAGCTCAAAGCTTTCTGTGATGGAGAGACACTCGTTCCGTATCCCTCTATAGACTGCAAAGTCAATGGCTGTTGGCGTTCTTTGGCTGTATGGATAATGCGTAGGCCCTCCAGTTGCAAGGACCTGGAAGTTTGATCTTTGTACAACATCAGCGAGTGCTCTTCCTCGGCTGGTAGAGTTTCGGGATCCCCAGAGGCGGTGGTGAGCATTCCAATCACCTGCGATTATGAAATTTGTTCCAAGATCATCAAAGAGTTTTTCAAAGTCGTCAGCAGAACATTGAAAGTTTGGTGGACAATATATAGATGCAATACATACTTCGCCATGGTCGGTTGTAACTTTGACAGAGACACATTGTACATTCGTGCTTTGTAGATTGTAGGACTGGTAGCATTTAAGACCAGATTTAATTATTATTGCAGATCCACCACGTTTACGATCAGCAGGATGAGTTGCTTGATGGATATCGTACCCATGCAAGTTGTAGTACGACCTTGAACAAAAGTGTGTTTCACTGACCAGCATAATGTCAATATTATGACTTTGCACAAAGAGCTCAAGCTCGATGGCTTTATTGGCGAGTCCGTCGGCGTTCCACACACCAATGTTCAGGCCGATTGGGCTCATGGTTGTGACTCATTAACTGGGAAAGATCCAGGGAATGCTTGAGCTGTTCCTGGAGTATTTTGGGGTAATAATCTTGAGACAAGACTCATCATCGACACCATCATTTGGAATAGCTTGTCAATCTGGGCAACAAGGACCGACAGGCTTTCATTAGATTGCAAGAACATTTGCTCTTGGCGCTGCCATTGCTGGTCGTTGACCAATTGCTGTGAGTTGCGTCGCTGTTGTTGTGGGAGAGTCCTCTGGAGATCTGGCTGTTGCTGTTGTTGAGGCCTTTGTTGTTGCTGTGATGGCTGCTGCTGCTGTCGATGCGGTACTTTTTGGTGACTTGGCTGACTTTGTTTCCTGTTGTCACTGCCCAGTGGAGGAAACTGTTGGCTCTGCGTGAGGGTCACAGGGACTTGTTGCCGCTGGGGATGACTAGCTAGACCACGCACAGCATTAGCGTAGGAGTTGGGCGCCGCTGAGTTTGACCAAACATTAGGATCAGTAAACTGCTGGGGGATGGTTCTGCGTTGGGATGTGACACGTTTTCGTTGAGCAACTTGCTGGTATACAACGCAGCCTTTATAGCTAGCTGTATGTCCACCTCCACAGTTAGCACATTTTACTGGACGGACATCCTTTAAGCAGGCCTCCAAGCCATGTTGTAGGCCACATCTGACGCAGTTAAATGGCTTCTGGCAATGATTTTTGGTGTGTCCGAAAGCTTGACAACGGTGGCACTGAACAACATCATCCTTTTTGTAAGGGAGTTCAACTTGGACCCGTTGCCGACAAAGTGTCTTGATCCCGTGGATTTCTTTGTTGTTTGCAGCCGGTTCAAGTTCAACAAAAACTAGGTTAACGAGCTTAGTTTTGTCGAAGCGGCTTCTAGGTCTATTGACAAATCGAACCAAATGACCCGCCGAGGTCAGACTTTCCTTAATGTCTACATCTGGGACAGAATGATGGACACCACGGATGACAACACGATAAGATCTGTCTTCTTTTAACTGCCAGGAATGGTATGGTACCTTTTTAAGGGTCAGCGATTTGGTTATGGCTCTGTATGTGTCTGAATCTGATGCGAGAATGGAGACAGAGTTGTTGGGATGGCATTTCAGGGAGTATTTGGAAGGGTCAACTATCTTGTCTGTGGATCTTATGAGTCCGTTTATATTCTCACAGTGATCAACCACAATTGGGGGTGGTTTGTGGGAGGGTAGTTGCTCCTGGCTACCAGACGGTCGGATGACATTTTTGTTGTTGCTTTTGCTGTTGTTGCTAACTTGTCTTAAGCTGAAAGAAGAACTGGCTTCTTCAGAGACATTGGGGCCCATCGTTTGTGGGACTTCGACGGGTTCGGTGGCTGTGTCCATGTCCGACAGATCCGAGAATCGGTTGGCAGAGACATTGGTTTTAGGGCTATTGGAGTTTCTCAAGATTTTGGAGACAGAATTTGGTGATCTGGAGTCAAGACGGCGTTTGTTTGCCGGTCTTGGGGACCACCAGACCTCTTCGTCTCCATTTATGACTTCTAGTTCCGGTTCAGGATCATGGCTTGAAGGTGAGATGCTGTGGGAGGATGCAGGAGGTGGGGTAGCCTTAACTGACCTTAAGACCTGCTGGATTTTTCGCTGTTGTCTCGTCACAATCTTTCTGATGTTAAGATCATCATCGGAGTCCGAAAGGTCAGACATGGTTTGAGTATTGGGCACAGATGTGCACTGCTTTACCGACTTCTTGAATGTATCAGCTCCTTGTCCGGCTACCTGCAAGGTGACCGTGGCTTAGTGGGCAAGGCGCAAGCCCCGCAGTCGGGCAGCACCCGGCTCGAACCCACCAAGTGACGGAGCAATTGAAATTTATTTTTCTTTTATTTGGGATGAAATTATTCTCAAACTCAATTTGGCCTTGAATTTGATTTAAATCTTCACAAAACCTTCACTTGTTTTGTCTTTTCGAATCACTTGTTATCGCGTTAGTCAAAACTAACGGAGGTGGGAATCACAAGGGTAACAGTTCTTGCCACTGAGCTGGACTTGTCCATAGACTCTTCACAGTGAAATTCGCAGCGATGCAAAAACGCGTCTGCACTCCATGATCGAGACTGAGTAGCCTAGTCTGCCGCACTTTTCCCACTCACTGGTGGGTGCACAATTCACAAATCGAGTGTCTCGTAGACTTTTTAAGGGTTTTTTTAAAATTCAATTTTATGACTTGCAATTTTCACTTGTAAGCTCCAGTGTGACCATGAACTTGTGAAATGTGTTTCTGACTTTTAGATTAAAAAAGGATCATTTTTTATTCAGACCAGCTACAGACTTAATCCATTTTTAAAACACATCACTTTCTATGATTTACCACCGTAAACATTTCAATTGATTAAATTTTCTTTTGACTTATCCATAAGCATTTTGCAGTACTTTAGTGGCAATAACTTTTCAAATATAGACCTTTAATTTCAGGCAATTTATTCTGACAGTACTATATTTTCAGTATACTACATTTTCAATAGCTGCAGAACGAGCCCATCGATTAATAATTTTGTATAATTAGTTTGCTTATCTCGCACACTGTAGTTTTTCCATCAACGCGTCAGCAAACAATATTTGTTCGGCTTTCATGGGAAAATTCCATTTGACAAACTATTCCGAGTTGGGCTTCGAAAATGTTACAACCGAATAGTGAGCATCGCTTTCGCCGGAGTTGGGCCCACTTCACCCTGAAAGCGGCCTTGTATGGATCCTGGGTCCTCGGAATATTTCCCTTCACTTTCGACTCCAGGAAAAGGCGACTGCATATTTCCAAGTGGCTTTTGGCATATGGCTTAATTCTGAACATAAGTCTGGTAGTTTTATCTCTACTGCCAGCCACAGATGAACACAATGCCATAAAGATAGAGGTGTTTCAAAAAAATCCACTGGTAAGGCAGCTTGAAACTTTCTTGGACTATGTAAGCTCCGTGGGCGTATTTTTATGCCATCTACGATCATTCTGGAAAAGTAAAGAGTTGGTGGAGATATTGAATGAGCTCCTGACGCTGGAGCACCACCACTTCAACGAGCTCATCCTCAGGGATTGTCCTCTGTTCGATCGGTACGTGATCCTCAAGGGTCTGACGGTAATTCTGGAGATGGCATCCTCCCTTGTGATCTACTTTGGAATGCCGGGTAGTAATGCGACGGTTCTCGAGGCCGTTTGCATCTACCTTTCCCAGTTGTCGATTCTCATGGTCGTGATGCACTTTCACCTGGCATTGATCTATATTTATCGGTTGGTGTGGATTATCAATGGGCAACTCCTGGACATGGCCACTAAACTTAGAAGAGGCGACAGTGTGGACTCCGAGCAGGCTAAACGGCTCCTTTTCCTTTACTCCCGTGTTTTTGACCTGAACTGCCGCCTCGCAAAAGTATACGACATCCAGATTACAATTTTTATGCTCGTTATAATGTCAGCAAACATAATTTTGAGCCACGTGCTGGTCATCTTTTGGTTCAACATCAATACTTTCTTTATGCTTATCCTGATTTTGTTCTTTCCCCAAGCATTGATTATAAACTTTTTTGATCTTTGGATGAGCATAGTCTCCTGTGACTTGCCCGAAAGAACGGGCAGGAAAACCGCACTGATCTTGAAGTTGTTTAACGATATTGAAGTCATGGACGAGGAACTTGAAAGATAGGTGAGCGATATATTTTTCTGAGCAAATCCTAAATGATCATTTTTTCAGATATCTGAGTTTACCTTATTCTGCAGTCATCGCAGGTTGAAAGTGTGCCAACTCGGAATGTTCGACATCAACTTTGAGATGGGCTTTCGCATAATCATCACCAACATTTTATGCGTACTTTTTCTGGTGCAATTTGATTACATGAATTTGAAGTTCAAATAATATTAGATCATGATTATGAATTATAGTCTTTACATTTAGTACTGAAGACAAGCGTATTAAAATATTTATATTAACATTAAAGCATGTCAGACTTTTTCTTCCCTCTACTTCCCAGTTTTAATTATTTAGAATTATTTTGAATTATAGGGACGGACATTGCTCGCCCTTAAGTTGTTTGATTAACCTATCAAATTACTATAAAAGGAAATAAATCTGTTTAGGAATTTACATTGGCAGCAACTTCACAGATGTAAGTCTGTAATTTGTGGTAATTTTCCTTTCAATGAAATTAACATTTCAACCCCTGCATTAACAGTCTGCTGATCAATACTTTTAAGCTTATCTGGCAAACCGTAATTTTCCCATCAACGTGTAAGCATTAGTCGTTTGTTTGGCTTCGACGGAAAACTATTCCGTGTTGAACTTCGACAATGTTGCGACCTAACAGTGTCCAGTCCTTTCGCGAAAGATTGGCCCACTTCATCCTGAAAGCGAACTTGTATGGATCCTGGGTCCTCGGAATATTTCCCTTCACTTTCGACTCCAGGAGGAGGCGACTGCATATTTCCAAGTGGATTCTAGCATACGGCGTGATTCTGCACCTGAGTCTGGTAATATCAGTCTATCTGCCAGTCACAGATAATCTTAAGCCCATCAATAAGGAATTGTTTGACCGTAATCCACTGATGAGGCAGCTTGATTCCATCTTGAGCAGTATGAATGACATTGGGGTACCTGTGACCCTTCTACGAACATTCTGGAAAAGTAAGGAGTTGGTTGAGGCTTTAAACGAACTCCTGATGCTGGAGCACCATCACTTCAGTAAGCTCATCCTCAGGGATTGCCCTCAATTCGATTGGTACGTGATCTTCAAGGGAGTAACGCCTCTCTTGGTGACGATTTCTTACGTTCTGATCTACTTTGGAATACCGGATTATAATCCAACGATTCAAGAGGCCTTTTGCATACACGTTGCATTGTTGGCAGTTCTGATGGTCGTGATGCACTTTCATCTGGCAGTGATCTATATTTATCGACTGTTGTGGATAGTCAATGGTCAGCTCTTGGATATGACCACAAGACTAAGGAGAGGCGAACGTGTGGCTCCCGAGCAGGTTAAACGACTTCTTTTTCTATACAGTCGCGTTTCGGATATTAATACTCGTCTCGCCAAGGTTTACGACATCCAAAATACATTTAGTTTGCTCGTTCTGATGTTAGCAAACATTTTTATGAGTTACTTACTGGTCATCTTTTGGTGCAACATGAATAATTTCATTATGCTGGTTCTGATTTCGCTCATACCCCAAGCACTGGTCATAAACCTCTGTGATCTTTGTCTGAACATAGCCTCTTGTGACTTGCCCGAAAGAACGTGCGAAAAAACCTCACGGATCCTGAAGTTGTTTAACGATATTGAAGGCATGGACAAGGAACTGGAACGGAGGGTAATCGTACATTTTTTTCAAATTGCATCTAAATTATTTAAATTTGAACTTGCTTTTAGATATCTGAGTTCTCCTTTTTCTGCAGCCATCGCCGACTCAAAATTTGCCAACTCGAAATGTTCAACATAAACTTCGAGATGGGCTTTCTTATAATTATCACCAACATTTTATACGTGCTTTTCCTGGTGCAATTTGATTATATGAATCTACAATTAAAATAAAATTTGATTCTGAATTTGAATTGTACTCTTGACATTTTGTTCTTAAGACAAATGTTTACATACCTGTTCTCAAAACTTGGAAACCATTCTCTTCCCTCCCCATTTGTAATTCAGAAAGCTCTCATTATTTTGTGTAAGAGAGACGGGCATTGCTCGCCCTTGGTAGGTTAATTCACCTGACTAATTACTTTAAAAGGGTTAGCATTGATAGGATCATTTTAATAGCCATCGTTACTTCGGTAAGTACCCTTTCACTATTTCTCCTTTTATGGTCAGAAGCTCAGTGGCCATTTCATTCCACTCTCGTTGTCTAAAATGTTCGGTTTAAGTCGCGAGTTTCGTCATCGTTTGGCATTGATTATCCTGAAGACGACTTTATATGGATCCTGGCTACTTGGACTATTTCCCTTCACCTTTGATTGCCGAAGACGACGAATCAGGCGCTCACGATTGCTCCAAATCTATGGATTGTTCCTCAACAATTTTCTTTTGAGCACAATGCTGTACTGGGGCTTTGAAAATTTTGATAAGAATGGCGTAGAAGCCTTTAAACGTAATACTGTGCTACAAATTATAAATATTTTAATTGGCTCAATAAGCATGTTCTCTGGATTCGTAGTATATTTTATGAATTTTTGGGGATGCATGAAAATTCAGCAGATTGTCAATGAACTTTTAGCCCTGGAGTATCAAGACTTTGACGGTCTGAATGAAAAAATTTGTCCCAAGTTCAACAGTTTGCTGATCCAAAAATCCGTGACTATTTTGGGACAGCTGCTTTCTTTTTTGACGGTGAACTACGGAATACCTGGAAATGATTCTCCCCCAAAACTAATGCTCATAAGCCTTCTGATGATAATATCCCTCAACATCAACTTATTGCACTTCCATGTCGGGGTTCTTCTGATCTATCGATATCTGTGGCTGATCAACGGACAACTTTCGGATCTGGTTAACCAATTGAAGGTGGATCCCACTGTAGACTCCTCTAGAGTCCGTAAATTTATCTCAGTGTACTGTCGCCTCTTGGATCTAAAAGAGAATTTAGTGTCGGCCTTTCAACTTCAACTGACCATTGTTCAAATGTCCTGCTTATCTGGCAATATTGTGATCATATATTTCTTTGTTGTGTTGCAAATAAGCATGCGGCAAAATGAAGTATCCTTGGCTGCTTTTCCGCAGGCTTTGCTCACTAATATCTGGGATTTTTGGTTGTGTATTGTCCAATGTGATCTCACCGAAACAACCGGTAAAAAAACATCCACAATTTTAAGGCAATTTAACGACTTCGTCCATACAAATGAAGAATTGGAGAGAAGTGTGAGTATATTAATGCAAACTTTGTGATCTTTAATAACTTTTTTTCTTTTAAATAGCTGAACGAATTCGCAATGTTGTGCAGCCACCGAAAATTTCGTGTTCAGTTCTTCGGATTGTTTTCGATAAACTGCAATACGGGTTTCAAAATATTGATAACAACGACTCTCTACTTTATTTGTTTATTGCAGTTTGATTATATGAATTTGTGAAATATGTGTTGCTTGAATAAACTATTAAAAAAATTTCAAATTAAAATTTTCAATTAAACATTTATTTTATTAAATTTACATATGGTACTTTTGACTAATCTATCAAAAGTTTAGTTTAACTGGTAATAACTTCTCAAATATAGCTCCATAAAGTAAGGCAATTTTTTTGACAGTATACTTAATTTTCTAATAGCTGCAGAAAGCGTGCCTCGATCGATAATTAGTTTGCTTATCTGGCTTATCTGGCAAATCGTTACTTTCCCATCAACGCGTCAGCACACAACATTTGTTCGGCTTCAAAGGGAAAATTCCGTTTGGCAAACTATTCTGAGTTGGGCTTCGAAAATGTTACAACCGAATAGTGAGCATCGCTTTCGCCGGAGTTTGGCACAATTTATACTGAAGGCGACTTTGTATGGATCCTGGGTCCTCGGACTATTTCCCTTCTTCTTCGACTCCAGGAGAAGATGTTTGCAACGATCCAAGTGGCTTTTGGCTTACGGCGTTATTCTGAACCTAACCCTGATAGCTTTGTCACTGCTGCCAGCCACAGATGATCACAATGCCATAAAGGTGGAGGTGTTTCATCAAAACCCACTGGTAAGTCAGCTTGAAATCCTCTTGGACTTTATAAGCTGCGTGGCCCTGGTTGGTTGCCATCTACGAAATGCCTGCAAAAGTAAAGAGTTATCTAAAATTTTGAATGAGTTCCTGATGCTGGAACATCGTCACTTCAGTGAGCTCATCCTCAAGGATTGTCCTCAGTTTGATCGATACGTGATCTTCAAGGGACTAACGGTATTTCTGGAGATAGCATCTTCCCTGGTGATCTACTTTGGAATGCCGGATAGTAATGGTTCGGTCCTCGAGGCTGTTTGCATCTACGTTTCCCAGTTGGCGGCTCTCGTGCTCGTAATGCACTTTCACCTGGCAGTGATATATATATATCGGCTGGTGTGGATAATCAATGGCCAACTCTTGGATATGGCCACAAGACTAAGAAGAGGCGATCGTGTGGATCCCGAGCGGGTCAATTTGCTCCTTTTCCTCTACAGCCGCGTCTTGGACCTCAACTCTCGCCTCGCAAAAGTATACGACTTGCAAATTACAATTTTTATGCTGATTATGATGTCGGCAAACATTTTATTGGGCCACGTGATGGTCATCTTTTGGATCAACGTGAATAACTTCTTCTTGCCAGTTCTGATTTGGCTCTTTATTCAAGCACTGATCATAAACCTTTTGGATCTTTGGCTGAGCATTGCCTCTTGTGACTTGCCCGAAAGTGCGAGCAGAAAAACCTCACTGATCTTGAAGTTGTTTAACGATATTGAAAACATTGACCAGGAAATGGAACGGAGGGTAAGAGAGAATTTTTCCAAGTGAGCCTTTATTATTCAAATTTGTTTCTAGATATCTGAGTTCACCTTATTCTGCAGTCATCGCAGACTAAAAATCAACCAACTCGGAATGTTCGACATCAACTATGAGATCGGCTGTTGTATATTCATCACCAACATTTCATACGTCCTGTGCCTCGTGCAGTTTGATTATTATAACTTGAAGTTCAAGTAATGTTTGATTCTGATTATGAAAAATACCCTTTACATTTTGTATCTATGAAAAGCGTATCTAAATATATATGACATGACAGCCTTTCTCTCCCTCTACATCCCAATTTTAATATCTCTAATTATTTTCCATAACAGTGACGGGCATTGCTCGCCCTTAATTTGATTAACTCACCGCCTGTCAAATTACTATAAAAGAGTTTTCACCGATAGGATCATTTAATAGCCCTCAGAACTTCGTTTAGCTAGGAGTGGAGTGGCCCTTTCATTCCACTCTCGTTGTCGAAAATGTTCGGTTTAAGTCGCGAGTTTCGTCATCGTTTGGCATTGGTTATCCTAAAGACGACTCTGTATGGATCCTGGTTCCTCGGAGTATTTCCCTTCACTTTCGACTCTAGGAAAAGATGTTTGCATCGTTCCAAGTGGCTTTTGGCTTACGGCGTTATTCTGAGCATAAGTCTGGTAGTTTTATCACTGCTGCCAGCCACAGATGATTACAATACCAAAAAGGTGAAGAAGTTTCATCAAAATCCTTTGGTAAGTCAGCTTGAAGGCCTGTTGGACTTCATAGGCTGCCTGGGCATAGTTGGTTGCCATCTACGATATTCCTGGAAAACTAAAGAGTTAACTAAAATTTGGAATGAGTTCCTGAGGCTGGAACATCATCACTTCAGTGAGCTCATCCTCAGGGATTGTCCTCAGTTTGATCGGTACGTGATCCTCAAGGGTCTAACGCTGTTTCTGGAGATGACATCTTTCCTGGTGATCTACTTTGGAATGCCGCATAATAATGCGAAGGTCCTCGAGACTGTTTGTATCTACGTTTCCCAGTTGGCGGCTCTCGTGCTCGTAATGCACTTTCACCTGGCAGAGATCTATATTTATCGGCTGGTGTGGATAATCAATGGTCAACTCTTGGATATGGCCACAAGACTAAGGAGAGGCGATCGTGTGGATCCCGAGCGGGTCAATTTGCTCCTTTTCCTCTACAGCCGCGTCTTGGACCTCAACTCTCGCCTCACAAAAGTATACGACTTGCAAATTACAATTATTATGCTCATTCAAATGTCGTCAAACATTATTTTGGCCCATGTGTTGGTCATCTTTTGGATCAACGCGAAAAAACTCTTTGTGCCAGTTCTGATTTTGCTCTTTATCCAAGCACTGATCATAAACCTTTTGGATCTTTGGCTGAGCATAGCCTCTTGTGACTTGCCCGAAAAAACGAGCGATAAAACCTCACTGATCTTGAAGTTGTTTAACGATATTGAAAACATTGACCAGGAACTGGAACGGAGGGTAAAAGAGAAATTTTCAAAATGGGCCTTCATTATTCGAATTCTTTTCTAGATATCTGAGTTCACCTTATTCTGCAGTCATCGCAGACTAAAAATCAACCAACTCGGAATGTTCGACATCAACTTTGAGATCGGCTGTTGTATATTCATCACCAACATTTCATACGTCCTTTGCCTCGTGCAGTTTGATTATTATAACTTGAAGTTCAAGTAATGTTTGATCCTGATTATGAAAAATACCTTTTTTCATTTTGTATTTATGAAAAGCGTATCTAAATATATATGACATGATTGCCTTTTTCTTCCTTCTACATCCCAATATTAATATCTCTAATTATTTTTCATAATAGCGACGGGCATTGCTCGCCATTAATTTGATTAACTCACCGCCTGTCAAATTACTATAAAAGAATTTTCAACGATAGGATCATTTAATAGCCATCAGAACTGCGTTTAGCTATGAGTGGAGTGTCCCTTCATTCCACTCTCGTTGTCCAAAATGTTCGGTTTGAGTCGCGAGTTTCGTCATCGGTTGGCATTGATTATCCTGAAGACGACTCTGTATGGATCCTGGGTACTTGGACTATTTCCGTTCACCTTTGACTCCCGAAAACGTCGAGTAAGGCGCTCGCGATTGCTCCAATTCTATGGATTGTTTCTGAATTGTTTTCTGCTGATCCCACTACTATACTTGGGCTCACAACATTTTGAAAAGAACAGACTAGAAGCCTATAATCGGAGTCTTGTTCTTGAAGTTATCAATATTATATTTAGTTTCGTTAGCAGCGGCTCTGCATTGATTATGCACTTAATGAATTTTTGGGGATGCATGAAAATTCAGCAGATTGCCAATGAACTTTTAGCCCTGGAGTATCAAGACTTTGACGGTCTGAATGAAAAGAATTGTCCCAAGTTCAACAGTTTGCTGATCCAAAAATCTCTGACTATTTTGGGCCAATTGCTGTCTTTTTTGACGGTGAACTACGGAATGCCTGGTAATGAGAATTCCCCAACTGTGGTACTCATTACCCTTGTGATGATCCTGTCCCTCAACATCAGCATAATGCACTTCCATGTTGGGGTTCTGCTGATCTATCGATATCTCTGGCTGATCAACGGACAACTCTTGGAGCTGGCCAGCCAACTGAAAGAGGATCCCACGGTAGACTGCTCCAGAGTCCGCAAATTTCTCTCAGTGTACTGTCACCTCTTGGAGTTAAAAGAGAAATTAGTATCCGCCTTCGAATTCCAGATTACCATACTTCTACTGTCTTGCTTTTCTGGCAATGTTGTGCTCATATATTTCTGGGTTGTGTTCGGAGTTACCTTGCGGACAAATTTGCTCTCTTTGGTGGCTTTTCCGCAGGCTTTTCTGATCAGTGTTTGGGATTTTTGGTTGAGCATTGTCCTATGTGATCTTACCGAGACAACCGGCAATAAAACCTCGACAATTTTAAAGCAATTTACCGATCTCGACCTTAAAGATGTGGAATTAGAGAGAAGTGTGAGTAAATAAACCAAATTATTGTGATCGTAATTAGCTTACATATTCTTTTTATAGCTGAATGAATTCGCAATGTTGTGCAGCCACCAAAAATTCCATTTTCAGTTCATTGGAATGTATTCGTTCAACTACAATGCGGGACACGAAATGGTTATATCAAGTATTTCCTACTTTATTTGCTTGATACAGTTTGATTATATGAACTTGTAAAATTAGTTTGGCTTGTCTTCTTTAAATTTATATGTTTTCGTCTTAAATAAACTTGTAAGTATCCAGGCTTTTAATTAGTGTGGATTTCCCTTAAATCGGTAACTTGGCTTCCCAGAAAGACAGACATGAGATGCAATATTAAGCAGCTGACATCATGGCGATAAAAGCTGATTCACCGGCAGTTGTCGTCAAGTGAATGACTTGCAGTTGGAAAATGTGAGGAAAATCGGAACGGGGCCGCAGGGCATCGGTTGCAGTAAAAGCCAAACTCCTTTTTAGCCAAAAGCTAAGCTCACAGAAACACACAAGTCAAAAGCCTCTGATGTGGTTGTGAAAAGAAGTGCAGCTAAGGCCAACAAATGAACGAGTTTTCTGCTCTCCAGCTGGCTAAGAATGCAGGGACTTCCCTTTTTACTTTTCTGCACTCACAATGGAACTTACCTACAAAGGCAACTTTACGAGCCTTTTTGGTTTTGCTTTTACATAAGAAAAACCTGCAAAATCAAGAAAAAGTGAGACGTAATGCTTTTCATTATTTCCTATCTAATAATTAGAACTTTTAATGCTTTAAACATTTAGTTCTTTGACAGCATTCTATTAGATAGATTTAAGATAATAAAAATGATTAGCTAGTGCTCTGATTAGCTTGATTTATTTTGTTTTCCTGTGAAGACACCTGCGCTTGATTTATGCCGATATCTCTATAGGTTTTATGTATTTCATATTCGACCAGACATCGGCAACATTTGGGCCAAGTTACTGCAGAAAACTACAGCTGACAGGCAACAATTAGGCCAACAGCGCGATGCCGGGGAAAAATCAGACAAAAGATACCCACACACACACACTGGGTCCTTCGTCCTTGGCTGTCAGATTCAGGCCTCTGGTCCTTTTTCGCCTCGTCGAGGGAGACCCCCATTATCTTCGATTATCGAGGGCACAAAGCCAGCAGCGATAACAGGCCCAGCAGCCACACTCGACACAATCGCGTAAATTGATTTTTATTATCCTGTGCAAAGGACTCCCCACCTCCTCGTGGGCATCCTCGAGTTTCTGGCAAATTTCCTGCTCATCTGCACGGCGGGCAAACAAATATAAACTCGAGTGTACACAAGCATTTGATTTATTGCCCTGGCCCAGGACATCCGCCAATTGTTTGGGCCACGTGGCATCCATCCCCCAGATCCTTTTGGATCCTTTGTTTACACAATAAAATTCCAGCAGTGAAGTCAGCATTAGGTCAACATCGCCTCGGCACGGGCGACTCGTCAACGTTTACAGATTATTCGATTCGCTCATTTCGATTTGTGCCAGCTTTCAATATATTTTTATTAAAACGACAGCATCTGGTTATCGGCTCTGCTGAACGAGGCACATTTTCCCTATTTTGCACGGAGGCAGGAAAATTCATAAAAATATTTTCGTTTTATGATGATTTGCCCTGTCAGCAGAAATTGGCTCCAAATGGATTTCGTTTATAGTGATAACTTCGGTTTTTCTTATTTTCGGCTTCATTATTGGGTTATCTTGTTTATTGTATGGCTTTGTTTATTTTGAATCGATGTTAATGATTGCTAAATAGACTTTTAACCTTTTTAAGTATATATGTACTTGGAACTTTGTTAAATTTCTTATTTCAACATTCTTAGTTGACATTAATCTGGTTTCTTTCCCGCTTTATACACATAACCCCCTTTCTTTTATTTTCAAAGGAGATCAAAGCTCTCATTTGTCTTTCTGCCAGCTTCCTCAGCTATTCTTACTATCAATCCCAACTTATTTCCCGGCCAAGTGTAATTAAAGTTTCGCCAAACGAAAATTTCCACAGCTACAATATTTAGTCAGTCTCTCCACTAATTGCCCGGCTTTCCTTGGCTTCCCTCCACCCGCTTTTCTTCTTCCGCTAGTTTCATTTTATCCGAAGACACAAATCGGCTTTGCTCGTCGCTGAATTGTTGTTTAAACTGCCAGCAACTTGCAGCAAATTGGCAATTATTTAATTTCGCCAACTTTTCTGAGCCAAACTTTCGAGCAGAGCGACTCACCCTCGATCGGCTTATATAAATTGGGGGCTCGAGGCCAAAATTATAACGCATTGGCAAACTAATTAAGGCAGTCGACTCGAATCAATGGAACAATTGGCGGGCATTTGTTGTAATTAGGAAAAGGGCTGAGGGCCGCCTTTTCATTAACTGCTTCCCTTGAAGTTCAAAGTCCCCTCTGCACAAACCCTCAAAAGTTTATCAAATTTACTCCTCAATTTGAGGCTGCTGGAAAACATATAAATTTAAATTAAAATCTGCTGATGAACTTTGACCTTTCATTTGCAGCCGTGGGCAATCCTTTTGGGTCATCGAACGACTTCTACCTAAGCAGAGGCAGAAAAAAGTTTCGCCTGTTCCCTAATTACAATAAATGGTCAGTCAGCTCAATTTTGCGGAAAGCCTGGCGGCAAATTTTAATTAATTTACTGAGCAAATTATAAATTGAGGTGGACTTTGGCGGCAGGAAAGTGTGAAGGGATGGAAATAACTTTTATCGGATTTAAGACAAGGAGCTCTGGTCCTTTGAAGTGTCTTATTTTTGGATTTACCAAGTGCAAACTTTTCTCGTAGCCATACACATCCATAAATTAACCATACGTACGTAATCATTTGTGTAATTCGAATGCTTAGCATTTAATGTAGGTGCCCAATAAAATATATGCTCCCCGTCCTGAGTGATTTTTATACTGTCATAAAATAATGGCGAAACGAATAAATATCCTGCAGACAAAAACAGAATAAGAGCGGAAATTATCGATGAGATTTACGAGCCGAGCTCATGAGCATGCGATGGAACATTTCGGCGAACTAATGCGTCCATCAGGATTTTTATGGTGTAAACAAAGCAATGAACAATTTGCGCGCATTCCGGATAAAGCCAATAAATCAAATATATTGGCCAACGCGGACGGGCAGGAAATGTGGCCCGAAACTTTTTGCTGAGCCAACTTGAATGGGAAGCGAAAAAAAAGTGGCCAAGAGGAAAATGGCGGAGCGGAGGGGCGTTGGACTTGGGATAATAAAAATCAATTTACGCACTTTTGCTGCGAGCGACGTGTCCTTTGTAGTTTTTTTTATTGCCCCTGCTCCTGCCAATGTTGTCGATGTCCTTCGGCATTGTCTTGCCCCTCTCGACTTCTAATCGAAGCTAATGTTGGCGTTTGATGGGTGGTGGGTGGCATTGGGTCTTGGCCTGCTCCTGACAGCGGTTGGCCTTTGTCATTAAGTGGCTAAGGGTCAGATTAGCCGAAACCTCAAGTGTTGATTTTTTAACAGCAATTTATCCTTGCACTCAGCAGTTTAATTGCTACTTCCCACAGGGATTTACTTCCTGTGCAGAGAAGCTTGAGCTTTTAAAGTGTATTCGATTTTATGATGTTGCTTTTTAGCTGCTTAAACATCTGATATATTTTTTTACAGAATGAATCCCTTTGGATATATTTAGTTCAAGTGGTTTCTCTAATTTATACGAATTAGCGAGTCGAAAAAAGATAACAACACGCCATTATTTGAGTAAAAAACCCGCAACAAAAGCGGAATTCAGAGCACAATAAATCAGGGAAAGCGAGCAGCCAGAAAGGGAAGTTTGGAAACAGCTGGAAAATCGCAGCCAGGGAAATTAGCGGAGCACACACTGAGCAACACATAAGGGGCGGACAAAGGAAATGCGCCAAAAGCTGGAGCTTTGTGCCACCATTTTATCCACAGCCATTGTTCGCCGGAGAATCCAGCTGCATCCTTAGCCAGCCAAAAAATACAGAATACAGAAGGCACAGAGCTCGTTCATTTGCTGGCCTTAATTGCACTGCTTTTCACAGCCACTCCATTTCTCCGGATCCTTTTGACTTGTGCATGTTCTCTCCGCTTGGCTTTTGCATAGCCCCTCGTTTACGGGGAAAAGCGAAAAGTGGGTGGAAAATACATCTGGTTTTATTGCTGCATTTTTACCCCCGATGTCCTGCGGCCGTGTTCCCGTTCTCTCAGCTGAAAAGTCAACAGGGCTTTCACTTAGACACGACTCCTTGTAAGCCCGGGGACATATCCTACTTGCTCGGCCACCCCTCTTAGAATCCCCTGACATCTTGAGCTGTCACTCGTAAGTCCTGCGAGCTCCCCTCTCAAGGACCCTCGGCTCCAGACGACACAAAGAAGTGCGAACCAATTAGAGGACTCTTCCAGCTGCTGTTTTAATATGCATTCTTCACAGGTTCCAAAAATCAAACTGAATGAGGAACAGCAAGTACAGGAAACTGGCGATGGCCATCCGAAATCCCATCTCGTAGTTCACGTAAAACAAGCCACAATGTCGAAACTTGGGCCTTTGATGACTGCAGAAAAGGGCAAAGTCGGTTATCTAAGGGGGAAAAAATATCTTCAAACTCAAAATAATCAACATAAAGTAGTTAGACTTACGCTCCTCTCAAGTTTCTCATCCAGGTGTTCGAAATCATTGAACAATTTAAGAATGGACGACGTTTGTCTTCCTGTTCTTTCCATCAACTCACAAACTTCAATGCTGAGCCAGAAGTCTATCACATTGATTAACACTGCTTGGCAAAAGATTAACGTTTTTAAGTCCGGTTTGTTGTGTAGACTGATGGTGTAGATGATGAAGAAGTAAATGGCCATAATGTTGGCCAGTAGAAAGTTGACTATCACCCAGACCATTTGATAGTCGTAGATGTCAATCAATCGATTACTGATGCTCAAAAGGCGATGGTAAAGATTCAGCAGATAGTCTATTCTGGCTGACTCCACAGTTTCTCCATTTGCCAAATTATTTACGAGCCTGAGTAGCTCCCTATTGACGATCCACACGAATCGATAGACGAAAAGCACTGCCAGGTGAAAATGTGAGGCTCCCAGGAGGACAACAAGTAACAATGTGCAAATGCTAGTCACTCCCAAGAGAAACTGGCGACTGTAATTCGGAGACATTCCCAGGTCCAAAATCAACATGGAGATGAATTCCAGAGCCACCGAGCCGCCTTTGTACAGGATAAACCGATCGAAGCCGCGGCACTCCTCCAAAGGATAATGCCGGAAGTGGCGATGCTGGAGGTCCATCAGTTCGTTCAGAATGTTTGCTACATCCCCGGCCTTCCAAAACCCTCTCAGCAGCACCAAGGACACCATCGAAAGGCTCTGGATGTCGTGGATTCGGTTGACCAGCTCCGCCAGTGCGTTCCTATGGAACAGCTCCACCTTCATCGGCGTTTCGCTCTCCGTGTCATTGAAGACCACCAGCAGGAAGAGGGCCGCATTCAGGATTAAGCCATACGCAATTAGCCACTTGGAGCGGTGCAACTTCCGCGTCCAGCTGTCGTATGTGAAGGGGAACACGCCCAGGATCCACGACCCGTAAAGGGCACCCTTCAAAGTGAGGTCCGTCAACCTCTGGCGGAAGCCACTTCCGCTCGGGCGGAACATTCCGGACCGGAGAATCAACCTCAAATGGCCGAGAGTGGAGTGGCCGAGACGAGTGCCAGCTGCGATAAGGTTCGTCGGTCGGAAGAACAAATGTTTTCCGGCTTTGTTGGGGGCACTGCTGATGAAAGGATTAATTAATGTACATGTACTGACCAACAAACATAATCCCAACCCAACACAGAAAAAAAAACTTATGCGCTTGAGTCCAAAGATTCAGTAACTCCAAAAAATATTTAATCATAAATATATTTATAAAATTAAATAAACATGCTTATACAACGCAGGTTTTCTTTTAGTTTTTAATGAATTTAATACTTTAGCATATGGAAACCCACTTTTGCACTTGTTTTTTGATTAGTGTACAATCGTTTCATAGGCTCAGTGTGCTCATAACGCAAGCAACATTTGCAGCGATTAAATCATTTAATTAATTGGATGGACATGGAGTTCAACTTCAGTTGAAGTTTTCCGCCCCCAATTTTCCCGGGGCGGTTGTTGGGTCATTCCTGATGGCAGGCTCTTAAAAATAATTTCGAGAGGCCAAAAGGAAACCTGAAAACGTCCTCGAGAGCGGCCTCTCATTGTAACTCAAGCGAAATCGGTGAAAGGCATCGAGTGCGATAATATCCCCGGCATATTTCACTTCACATCTGGAGAGTTCTCCTGGAGATTAAAGGGGAGTACGAGTGCTCGAATTGGGGGGAAATCCGCTCGAGAGGCCTTGCTGATAGCCTGCATTGCTTCGGACATTTTCCGGAGTTGTGCAAATGAAATTTCATTCAATTAGTGTGGCAGACGACAAGACTCATGCCCCAATGAGCTGCTGAAATATGAGCGGGCAATCCGATAAGTGGGCGAGAATGTGGGGAATAATAATCGATGTCCAGTCAGGCGATTTAGTCCTTCTATTTTCAGATAGATGCTCGGACCTCTGATTGATTAGGCTCAAGTGATGCCTGAGACAGCCAATAACCGAGTTATCTCCACCGAAGCGGCATCTCTCTGTCGGACACATTTTCCCCAGACATCCAAGTATTTTTACCTTTCCCCGAAATGTTGGCAACAAACTTTCGAAATGGTTCCAACTTGCTTTCCCAGCGCGGCTGCAGTTTTTGACACTGTTGCAAAGTTAACACTTCTCCGTTCCTCTTTGGCAGTTATGTCATCTGGTAAACTTTTAGCTGCTGTCACCTGTAAAAGCCATTTTCGCCGGAACTTTCCCTGTTTTTCCCCTTTTATTATTAGTGCCCTTTTGACACTTTTTAAAGTGTGTTTATGGGAAAACCCTAGTGGACACTAAGGAGCTCTTTTTTCCAATTTTCCGTTTACAAATAAAAGTTTTGACACTTGAGAAGCTGGCACCTGAATTGAACCGCTCTCGAAGCCGAATTTAATGTATTTTCTAGACTTTTGCTTGTAAGTTCCCAAGCAGATTCATTCCATTATCAAACCGCATTCTCACAACAATTGAGAGCAGCTTGCCGCATGCTCGGTGTGTACATTGTGGGTCCTTTTGGGAAATTCGCTACACAGTTTGCAATTAGAATTATTGAAGCAGTTCTCGACACAATTGTAGTTTGAATTTTTAATTGCTGACCACAGCAAACAAACGGACAGTAAACAGAGGGCAACAAAGCAGAACACCAAAAGTCCTTTTAGGTGTTCGGACATCCTGTGGCTCATCCAATTTGCATGACTAAACGAAGCTCCTTTCTCTCCTCTTTAGAGGAAAGTGACTGCAGTTCGACCTAAATAAAACACAAAATAAAACAAAAAATGATTGCAGAAAATCAAGAAGACATACTTTCAATTGCTGTATAAGTTTATCTTTATTCTGTGAAGGTTTTAAGTTCTTGTAAGTTTGTTAATTTCTCGTCATAAGGATCCACTCCCCTGGAGTGGATATATTTTCATTAAAAATATACAACAAGAATCAACGCTCAAAAACAAAAATTTAAAAGTTATCTGCCATTGTTCATACGCCACGTGATCCGCGTTCAAGTTAGTCGCCTGCAATTAAGCAACGGAATTCGTATTTTTAAGGCAACTGGAATAATTTGAGGCTAAAAAGGATTCTCTTTGCCAACAAAAACCCTCCAAAAAGAGGCTTTAATAGGAAGATAGGATGGGGGTGTAGAAAATCAACGCAAAACGAGTTAATTAGGCAAATTAAATTAGGAATGGTTGAGGAAAGTTGAAATGGAAAAGTGGCTGCTTGAAGTGCCTATTTTTAAAAGGTTTGTGATTTTTTGTGCCCTTCTGCTTAACATTTTTGTTTTGGTTTGACTTAAGCAAAGTAGATCAAGGCCTATAATAACAAATGGCCTAAAAAATATCAACAAAAAAGATTTGCCCATTATGAATTTATTTTTAATCCAAAAAGCGAAAGTAATACGCAATGAAATGTCGTGCCCTTAACCTTTTTCTCGGGATTATTGAAAATGTTTTCCCTCATTGCTGTCATGTCTTGTTTGGCCATTATCCCGACTGCCTTTCGTGTCTGCTGATATCCTTCGCCATGTCGTTGTTATCCTTATTTCTCTGATGGGGCAAAGTTTAATGTTTCACTTGAAAAGGATTCGCGTTGCCTACGGGGAAACTTTGCTGGCAAGTCGCTTAAACCAAATGGATACTGTCCCAAAGGGGTGGAAAAATAAAAATGTATGTTCCGAGATTTAAGTATGCAAACTAAGGATTAGATTCTTAACCCGAAGATAAGTTTTCATGGTTCAAGGCGATCAAATCTCATTTTAAATGAAATCGTTGCACCAATTTAGCACATCAAAGAAAAACAAACAGCAACGCCCACTTCTGACACTCCCCCTCAGCAAATGAAGTGCAAAATGGTGGAAAATATTTGCACTACAAAGTAGCAAGAGAAAAACAAACGAGAGAAGGAAAAAATACTTTTGCAGTTGCAAATATTCATTCCGCGATAAGGAGAAAAAGCCAGAAAAAGTGTGGAAAATTCGTGAAAAAAAAAACTTTGAGTAAATATTTATGAAATATTTTTGCAGATTCTGCAGATCAAATCAAATTGCTGTCAGCGAAAATGGCGTGATTTATTTGGCAAAATTGTGGGCGAACTTTTCGAGCTGTTTACTTGTCAAAGGATTGCAAGGCAATCACTGCGGATGTTTACCTTTTGTTTTGCTTATCTAATAAAGTGCAATTCTGGCAGCAGACAATGCAATTTGCCGGCATATTTATATACTTTGATAAACTCTTATAAGCTTGTGGGAAAATGCAAGGAACCTTTGCCTTTTGCCTTGAAAAACTTTCAAAGGAGCAAAGTGTTCATAGAGCGGAAAAGAGAGCTCTGCTGCAGTGTAATAAATTGCAAATTTCAGGGCGGAAATTGAAAATTTATTGGCAAAAAAAGATTGCGGATACCCGAATGTCTCTTTTTATACACGTTACCTGCAACGTATACCCATTAGAGTCTTCGTTGAAAAGAAGGACTTGCTCCCGGTGAAGAATATATTCTTAATCGGGATCTCAGACGAGTCGATCTATGTCTGCTTGCCTGCCTGTTATTTGTACGCAGCGCAAGTTGGTTACATTTTTGTGCCACGCCCACGATTACTTTTACCTCCTCCAGCCCATAGGGCGTTTCAGCCCTGCTGTCTGTATTGATTTTATTAAGTTTCAACATTTTCACACCTTTTCTTTAACTGAGTAATGGGTATCTGATAGTCGGGTCACTCGACCATTATGTTCTCTCTCTTGCTTTTATTCTAATTTCTGAAGTTTTCTTGGAGAGATCCCTTAGCGACAGAGAATTAATGATCCTGGCTGTCGGTTACAAAGTGACAACATTTTGCATCGCAATCGGAGGAAACAACTTCTTCCCTTTTTTCGCTTTCCTATGAGAAACATTAAAAATTTGTTTTCCCGTTTTCTTGGGGCTGAGTTTTCGCAATGTTTTTCATTTTCCTTTTGCTCATTTTTCATGCCCTCTTTGGAGCGCCACAAAGTATGCAACACATGCAGCTGAAGTTTCCGCAAAAAGTTTGCTTTTCCCGCCACTCCTTCGCTTCTTATAATAAGTTTCGCTTAGCGTTTCCCTCTTCCGTTCCCGCTTAGTGCATTTTTCACCTTTTATCATTATTTCTTGGCTCATTTTCTGAGCTTTCCCCATCGAGAAGTGACCCGACTTCATTTTTGGGGGAGATGATTGCTTTGGTCTATGCAAAGGGTCTCAATTTGGGTTCACGTATCCATTAGACGCTCCCTACCCTCGTGTACTCCTCAGATGCGCATAAAGTGTTTTGCAGATAATAAAAATTGGCAAACGACGAAGAATTTATGCGCTGTGAAAACTCGTAAATTTTCAATGTGCTCCGAGATAAAAATCGGCAATGAAAACGTAGAGACAGAAAATCCGCCAGCTGAATTCAGCCTGTTGTTCTTTAGGAAAAAGTTTTATGATTCCTAAATCTCCTGGGCGGAGTTCAAATATGTAGCAAAACGCATGGAAAAGGTCAATGATTGGACTATAAGTCTTTAATAAATTTTCTTTAATCGTAAACAAAAGTTACCTCGGTTAACTTTTATCTATCCTAATGATTTTAATTTAGTACATTCCCGAGAGCCATTTTCCTTCGAAAACTTTTTTAATTTCCGGGGCAATAAATTTGCAGGAAATATCTTCAGTTCTAGTGAAAATTGCCATAGATAAACACAAATCGAAGCTTCCATTTCTGCCCTGCTCTTTGTTTATTTAAACACAATTAACAGGCGACGAGAAAACGTAAAAGTTAAAGACAAAGAGAGACAGAGTGAGCTGAAGCATGAAATCAACTTCAAGGGAAAACATCTACGAAAAGATAAATAAATTAAATGAAAATAAAATACGAGAGAGGAGAGTCGGAACTGGCATTTTAATCGATGCAAAGGTCATTCAGGGTCAGCAAAGAAAATTCTTCAACAGAAGAAGGGAGATCGGAATTAATAGCCGGGAAAACTTAATTTTACGATGGTGGGTTTCTCGCGGGGGT